TTTCCAAGCCTTAGCTGTAAACTATAAATATGGGTGTGCATATGTCACTGTGGTATGATTCTTTTCATTCTTTTGGGAAGATACCCAGCAGAGGGATGGCTGGGTCAAAAGAGACCGCCAATCCTAGCTTTTTGAAGTATTTCCATATTGATTTCCATAGTGGTTACACCAGTCTGCACTCTCACCAATAATAAAGAAGGGTTCCTTTCTCCCCACACCCAGCCAACATTTGTTATTGGTTGATTTCTTGATAAGTCATCTGTTCTGAAGTGAGGTGGAATCTCAGTGTTGTTTTCGTCTGCATCTCTTGAATGACCAGTGATACTGAACATTTTTTTCATGTTTTTATTTGCTGCTTTTACTTCTTTGTCTGAGAAATGTCTGTTCATTTCAGATGCCCATTTTTGAATTGGGTCTTTATATTTGGGTGGTCTGATTTTTTTAGTTCTTTATATATTCTAGATAGTAGACCTTTGTCTGAGGAACAACTGGTAAAAAATTTTTCCCCATTGTAATGTCTCTTAGCTCTGTTGGTAGTTTCTCTTGCAGTGCAGAAGCTCTTTAGTAAGATGAGATGCCACTTGTTGATTCTTTGTGATAGTTCCTGTGCTACTCAGGATTTGTTCATAAAGTGTTTTCCTATGCCAAGTGTCTTCGAGCATTCTACCTATCTTCCAGCAAGTTTAGTGTTTCTCTTTTAATATTTAGATTTTCAATCCACTTGGATTTTAGTTTAGTGCATGGTGAAAGATAAGGATCTAGTTTTAATCTTTGACAGGTTGAAATCCAGTTTTTCCAACACCATTTATTAAAGAGGCCATCTTTCCTTCATTATGGGTGCTTGGCTCCTTTGTCAAAGATGAGGTAGCTTAATTTGTTTCTGCATCTTCTAATCTATTCCACTGATCCCCGGATCTGTTTCTTTGCCAGTACCATGGTGTTTTTATCACAGTGGCTCTGTTCCATAGTTTCAAGTTGGGGATTGTGATCCCCCGCCCCTGCCATGTCTCTGTTGCCTAGAATTGCTTTTGCTATTCTAGGCCTCTTCTGGTTCTAAATGAATTTTTGGATTGTTTTGTCAAGTTCTGTGGAATATACTGTAGGGATTTCAATTGGGATTGCATTGAGTCTGTATAGCAGTTTTGGAAGTATGGCCATTTTCATTGTTGATTCTTCCTACCCAGGAGCAGGGGTGTCTTTCCATTTTCTGATATCCTCTTTCTTTGTTCTCTTTTTTCAGAGTGCTGTGGTTTCCAGAGTTGGTATCTTTGATTTATTTTGTTCGGTTGATTCCTAGGTATTTCATTTTTTTGGATGCTATGGTGGAGGCAGTTGTTTTTTTTAGTTCCTTTTTTAGGGAGTCTGTTATTTGTGTACAAGAAGGCTACTGATTTGTGTGTGTTGACCTTGTATCCAGCTACTCTACTGAATCTGTCAATTAAGGGTCTCTGTGCACTTACCAATGGTATCATGGAAGGCCTCTGGTTGTTGCTTTTGTGCACCTGTGTAACTCCTTTCCCGGCAGGTCTTTACTTGGGGCTCATGGGCCCAAGAGGGCATCTAGGCACAGCCCTGCCTGGATGTGCCTGCTCCCACTGCTCTGGTCCACACCATCTTCTGCCTTCCAAGTCTTTTTTTTTTTTTCCAGCTTTAATTGAGTTTATTGGTACATTTTAGGGATACAGTACAGTTACATTCATTTTTGGGATCTTGTACCTCTACATGACAGGTCTTGATTCTCATTTTTTCCCCTTGTCCTTGCCCTCCCTTCACCCCCTCCTCCCCTCCCCATTTACAAACACTTTATTTCCATCTTTTCATTATCTCACATTTTTTTCTTTTCCCTTTTTACCCTTCCCCTATCCATCCCACCTTCCCTATACCTTTAGCCCCTTTCTTCCCATTTCTCAATGTCAGTAATCTTATTAGGATTTTCTGTATTATTGCAGATCATACACACCAGAGAAACTATTTGGTATTTACACATGTGTACCTTATTTATTTCACTTAGGAGTATATCTTCAATATGTATCCATTTTCCTGTGAATGAATCTATTTTTTCATTCTTTATGGCTGAATAATATTCCATTTTATAGAAAAACCACATCTTCTTTATCCAGTTTCCAACTGATGGACAAATAGGCTGTTTCCAAGTCTTAATTACTTTGTGACTTCTTCTTTAAACCCATGAATGATTTATAAATTTGTTGTTTACTTTTCAGATATTTGGAGATTATCTTACTTTTTTTTGTTTCCTAGTTTATTGCTATTGTGTACTTTATGTATTTTCAGTTATTTAGATTGAGCCTCTCAAATCTGGGGGCTCATGTCTTTTACCATTCATCCATTATTTCTCCAGGTATGTCTGCTTTTTTGGGACAGGTACTTCTGCCTCTTCCTTTGGGACTTCTCTGACACAAATGTTATATGTTTCTTTTTAATTGTCCCCATGGATCCTTGAACAGGCTGTTGATTCTTTTGCTCTGGCCAGTGCTTTTCCCTGCATTGTCCAGACAGGATAATTTCTTTTGACCTGTCTCCAGTACATGCTTGCCATCTGAAATACTGGTATTTATTTACTTTTATTCTTTTAAAGGTAGGATTTCACTGTGTAATTTAAGATACTTGAACTCACTGATCCTCGTGTCCCAGCCTCCCAATTGCTGGGATTATAAGTGTGCGCTACCATTCCCTGCTCTCTAATGCTAGTATAAAGCCCTTTGAGTACATTTTAAATATTTGGTTATTGAATTTTTTCAGTTCCAAGATAACCAGTTGTTCTCACTTTATATAGTTCGTTTGATGAGATTTTTTTTCTTCTGTTCTCATCAAGAATTTATGTGAAGTTTACTTTTGGAGAATTTTTATCCTCGCTCTATTAATAAAATCTTTTCTGGTTAATTTTGTGTCATTTTGGCATTATTATATGAATTCTGAATGAGTGGATATTTGCCCCTTTGTTTATGTGCTGAGTAATTCTGGAGTAGGATTTCCATGCTTGAACATTGTATCATGAGTTTATTGATCTTGTTTAAATCCTGTGGCGAGTATAGTTGTGTGTGCATGCTCGTGCTCTCTCGCTCTTTATTTTTCCTTCCTTCCTTACTCACTCCCTTCCTTCCCTCCCTCCCTCCCTTTGTTGTGTTGTAGTTTCAATGTCAGTTCTGTTTTCAAAGTTGTTGCCTTCATTCTTCAGATGTATCTTCAGTGTATATTAGAGGATAGTTTGAGACCTGGGTGGTGTGGTTTTAGATTATTTCTGGGTTTATGTCACAGTTTGATATACTACTTAGGTTCAAGTGCTTGGTGCTTAGAATGAACCTAGGAATTGACATACGAATTTGTGGGGTCACTTTTCTGAGTTCCTGATATTTTTCCATCTCCTTAGCATTTTCTGGTTTGCTGGCTCCACCCTGAATCAAGGTGGTGGTGTTTTTTTTGTTTGTTTGTTTGTTTTTCTTTTCTTTCTTATCCTAGGACAGACATCCCACAACTATAGTTGCATCTATTGTAAAGCAATTTGTGTTTGTGTTTTCTCCCATTCTGTGGAGTTCCTACTTTGAAGTTGGTAGGAAGATGTTTAGCTATTTGGAAATAAGTCAGATTTTACAGTTCTTTTCTCAAACCTACCCATATATAGATCTGGCCCCCCTTTTTTTTCCTGTCAGTTCATTAATAGCAGAAATGAAATTTTTTGAAATAAGTCTTATAAAATCCTCCCTCTCTTCTTTCCTTTCTTGCTCTTTTATTTAAAAAACAAAACTATACATTACATTCTGAGAACATTTGCAGCACATTAGGATACAACCTCTTCTCTCAAGTTAGAGTTTTTTGTTAAATGGCATCACTAATAAAATGTATTTTTTACAGCTGGAAATTTGATAGATGCTTAAGTCTTCACATGCAGTATTACCTCCTAAGCTTTTCTTGGGTTGATTCCTAGAGATTGTGATTCAACAGATACATAATATAATAAATGAAGGAGTCAGTCACCTAAATTCTCTTCTCTCTTGTTAAAAACATGCCTATATCAGTGCAGGTCATTATGCAGATACAGAACACATTGTGTCTGGGGAAGCTGATGATGTTAGTGCTCTGTGGAGGTTGCTGGTTTAGTAGTGTCACTGCTGTGCTCTTGGTCAGACACTCAGTCCCTCCCCATTGCTCGAGGCGTAGTCCACTGTGGTCCACGCTCCTTGCAATTGTTTATCTGAATCATCACTGTATCCATTTCATATTTATAAACCAATTCAGCAAACCTTAGAACTTAATATTATCTTTTTATCATAGCAAGTTTAAGGAAAAAATGCCTTTTTTTTTCCACCTGCGCTATTGAAGTGCCAACATATCAGTAGCAAAGTGCTTTAAGGTGCACCTGTCATAACTGGATCTTGAACTGTTCACGCGCATGTTTATGTAGCACCCATGCAGTTAAGACTTAGAATATTTCCTGTTCCTCCTCATCCCCTAAGTTCCTTCCCAGTCAGAAGTAAGTTTCTGTCCCTGAGTCGGCCAACATTCTTCTGATTTCTAGCACCATTGATTTGTTTGCCTGTTTCCATTCTTCATATAAATGGAAGCATGCAGTATGTAGTCTCATGTAATTAGTATTTTTATTCAAATGATTTTTGTGGTCATCTTGTTGAGTGATTTGATACTTTTTTGACTGCTTTATACTCAAAACACATCTAAACTCAGAAAGAGTCAATTGATTTTCATTTTACATTTTTCTTAACAGGCAATCTTGCAAAAAATTCCTCATATATTCCAACTCTGAATCATTCAGTTATCTCCTTTACCTACTCATGTACTGTTGTTTATTTCCACTGCTTATTCTTGCCCTCCCTTTTTTCTCTTTGTATTTCTTTGTACCAGTGCAGAGACGAGGAGACCTGTAAAGTTTTACCTCCCATTTCTTCTTTGCCGAGCTAGCACTTTGTCTGAGTGAATTCCAGTGGGAGCGAGTGCCTGTGTTCACTTGTTTTTCTTTCTTCTGACAGCACGATGGAAGTGGATCCTTGCATGATGTTCAGCTGTCGTTGCCCTCCAGTCCAGAACCAGAAGCAGCTGATGAGACGTATAAGGTATAACTTAGTAGTGAGTGATACTGGAGATTTCAGAATTCTTTTTTTTTTAATTGTTTTACTGATTTTTAATAACATGGCATAAAGCCCCTAGAACTGATATAATCATGATGCAGAATACACAGATGAATACTGTCTTTTAAAAATATAAAATAAATAAAACGTCAAAATAGGCACATTTCCACTACATAAATGAAAACTTTTAAAAAAGAAAGTTTTCCTTTCCATGTCATTTGAAGACAGGAAATTATCATTTTAAACAATATTCAAGTCTATTAAACAAATTTAAAAAGTTATTATAAGATATTTAACTTTCATCAGCTTCAAGGTTTATGCTGCTGACAAATTTTGCATATAACTGAACTTTCAAATCCGCTTACACCTGCTGAATTGATTCTACTCTGGATTCTAAGGCATCAGTTTCTTCTTGCAAATGTTTCTTTACTTCTTCTAACATGTCTTGTGTTTCTTCTTGAGAATGGCTGATGAAAATGTCGCCAATCTGGTAAGGTATCATGATGCTGTCCTCATCTGTGAGCATGGTGTCGTCACAAGCATCTTCTAAATTCTGGAGTTGTTTCTTTTTCACTTTTATTTCTTCCTTTAGCTCAGTGATTCTACTCATATTCCACGCAGATTTATTTATCTTTTGTTGATCGTCGAAAGTCACATTGACATCTTCTGCAGCAATTTCATATATCACCTAAAAATACATATTAAAAAGATGTGATGAGTTTGATCCGCAGCTGAGCTTATCAGCATAGTTACTACAGTAGTTGCTAGTAGTTGCTGTGTCCAATTCTCCATCTGTGAAGTGGGGAACAGGGTCCATGCAAAGGGACTGGGAGGCTGCTGGGCCCTAACCCATCTCACCCTCCATAGAGCACAGAGGATGCAAGAGCTGAGGGCTGGCTGGGGATGACGGGGACGGGAATGGGGTGGGGCAGCGGAGAGGGCGCTGTGGCCAGGCGCTTATTGATCTCTCCAAGCCCAGGGCCTTGTCAGAGGTGGCCCTGATCCCCCAAGGGTCCTGGACCCCTGAGGCCCACAGAGACACTGGGGCACAGGGCCTCCGTGCTCTTCTCTCACATGCAGCAAGTTGCCAGAATCTCTCAATCTTCTCCCCTTGACTCTTCTCCCCTTAGTTCAGGCTGACCATGAACTCACTGTGTAGCCAATGCTAGCCTCGAACTCACCACCGTCCTTCTGTCTCTTCCTCCCGGTGCTGGGATTACAGTCATGCACTACCATGCCTGGTTTAGAATGTTACAGTGTCTTGATGACAACTTCCTTGCAAAGTGTTGTTGCCCTTGTTGCCAAATTTTCCCTCCAGTCTCCTGTCAATGCCATCTCAAATGTAAATCTGTCACTCCTTGGCTAAAGCCGTGCTGAGGACCATAGTTATGGTCCTCCATGATTTTGCCTTTTCCCATTTTGTTAGACAAATTGCTCTCTACTATTTATTTACCGTAGCCTTTGTGCTGGAACATCAGTTTATAGTGTTACAGCTGTGCTGTGCTTGTCCTCACATCTGTACTATATGACAGTTAGATTCTCTTACTGAATGATCCAAAGCCTACCACACATCTCTGTCTTCAGAACCTTCTGTGAATCTGTAAGATCCACTGGGGCTAACCATTTCCTGGTGGCTGTGAGGGGGCAAAGGCTTGTCATCTGCTAAGTGCTATAAACCTGTTGGCTGTTAATATTCTTACCCCTCTGTCTTTTGATTTCATTTTGGGGCCATTTCCTGTAACACTGTCGGAACTTAGCTGTGCCTATGTGAATGATGAATACGTACTATTGTATCAAGTTACTGCATTATAATCTCCCAGTTGGACTATTGAAAACTTGTAAAGTTTCAGACATCTTGTAGAATTTGTGATACTTGGGATTATTTTTGGCATGGCTTCTTGTAAGTGGGATAACTTGAGTCAATGAATGTAGGCATTGTCAGGACCCTTACATATACAGTCATTCATTTGCCCAGAAAGGTTAAGTGCTATGTTTGATAGCATACTATTTTCCTGTCTTCACTAAGCACATCAGATATTTCACATGGTTCAGTATTTGTAACACACATCTTTATATTTTTCATCAAGTCAATCAACATTTTACTAATTATATTAGTATGTTTTTTAAGAAGTAGCTGTGTAGGGGCCTTAAAAATGATCTTTATGTTTGAACAGGTTCAATAGTATCTTTGAAATGTAAGTCCTCCATCATCAAATGCTTAAATATTTTAAAGCACTTAAGTTTGGACATTTAATAAGATACTCAATGAATGTTAGCTGTTATTCAGTTATTTTCATTGTTTACATGTGAGACTCCTCTAGATAATGACATTTTTGAAGATTTTGTTTTTTTAATAGAGGGTTTTCACTGGGTCTTCATCTCTAATTTAATACTTTTAATTATGGTGTTTTAAATGACTCATTTTAAGTTTTTAAATTTCAGAGTGAAGATTTATTAAATGAAATAAAACAGCTTAAAGATGAAATAAAGAAAAAAGATGAAAAAATTCAACTATTAGAACACCAACTTGTAAGTATTATAGAGTAGAATATAAAGTGGAAACTTTTCAAACTTTTTTATTTTTATAAGACCCTGAACCAGAATTAGAGTTTGTCTGTACTTTTGACTTCTCAAATTGCATGATTATATTTACATTACATTAATAGATGTATGTGATTTAGCTTTCAATCTAAATACTAAATATTAATATGTACTATATATATAAAATAACCATTATTGAATTTGTCATATCAATATAACATATTAACATTAGATATTAATATTGATTAGACAGTAATCTATTATATTATTATATACTCTATATTATATGTAATAGTGATTAGATATTAATAATCTTTGTTGGACCTCTGTTTTGGGGGTTGAAAATTCGACACTTTACCTCATTTATTGGTGCAGTGAAATAGCGCCCGGCATAAGCTGAGAACAGTACATTTTCTGTCTGTGTGAACAGAAGAGCACTGGGTATCTGCAACCGCAGGGGACTTCACGACGGTGTTCCTTTTCTGTGGGTGATGTTGAGAGATTCCTTGGCATCCATCATCTTTGAATCTTTATTTTTTTTATAATTGTTATAGTTTCAAATGTTAGTTCCATATGAAAACAATATAAGTAGGGCCCTGAACTCAATTATAATTTAGATTGCAATAATACAGAGTATAAAAAGAATATAATGCGTAGAAATAAGAAAAACCTTTTCATATGCGATATTAATCTTACTCAGAATATGTGTTTAATATACTGACTCTCAGTCACGCAGACAGATCATGGAAGCTCCCCCTCATGAAGCAGTAGAGCATACAGATCAGTTACTGTGAAGAAAGGCACGAAGAAAATTTAAGAATCCAAATAAGGAGTAGCTTAATGCTGCAAACTGTGAGCCTACCATATAAATTAAAATGGAAAATAGTAAGACCTAGTTTTATGTTGCAAAGCCAAGCAAGGAGAAGAACTCAGCCAGTTTTTAGGGAGAAGAAAAGAGACAGTTGAGAGTTGTGCTTTCCCAATATGAATTTAGAGTATTTTTTATTGAAAGCAGAATTGCTTTATGAAGTGAATGTCTTGTTGAATGAGTTTTAAGGACTGGATGTTTTTGTTTGTTGTTTATAATAAGGAATTAGAAGTCATTCAGAAAGGTTGTAATAATAGAAAGTTTAATTAAGGAACTCTTAGGAAAATAGGGATAGATAGCAGCATTTTTCACTATCAAAGTTAAAATTCCCCTCTTTATAATGTATTTATCGTTTACATTGTTATCTCTAGACTATCTTTTTTAGAATAGATGAAAAGCAACCAGGAGAGCCACAGGTAGGACTTAAGGAGACTTATCTGGAGTAGGAAATTAATAAGTTGAAGGATGTTGGCATTTGCCATTTTTCTCTCTAGTGCTTTCTATATCCCAGTGAGAAAGTTTTCTAGATCAGATTCCTCTGCAGATTTAGCCTTTTTTGCTTTTTTATTTTAAAATATGTATTAACACAAACCTGTATTTCTATGAAAATTTTCAGAAAAAATAATGAAACGTTGAATTCATATATATTATTCTACATTAAATGTATTGATAAATCAGACTACAGTGCTCTGACAATTTAATTGAAAAGTATAGAGATTTGATCATTTAAACCTTACTTCAAAATGTTGAGAATACCTGATTTTTATCTTGAGACATTAGCTAAGTAGTAAATTTAAATACATTTGCTCATTGAGTTCTCAGAATAATCTTGTGAGATTGCTAGTATAGAATTTTCTTTAAGGGTAACATGGAAAGTGGAACTCAAGTTAAGTGGGCTCACCATAATTTGTAAACATAATCCTTGCTGACTTGGATTCAGATCCTAGCTTTGAGACTTCATAACCGTGTTCTCTTAGGGAAATTATGAAACCTCCCCTAAGACTTTTCTGGAAATGGAGAAGAGTAAAAATAGTCCTGGCCATATAGGGTTAGAATATAATAAAGGAACTATGTATGTAAACTGCATAATGCCTGCCCCAGGATATGTGGTAGTCACTTTTGTTAAATTACTTCCCCTAAACCACCCAGTATAAATTAATACATGTTTTGTGATGCTTTAAGTTTCAAATAAAAGTCCTTATCTAAGAGTAACACAAAATTGCAGCACCCTAAGAGGCTAAGGCTTGTTTTCTATAGTTTATCTATTTTTAAAATCAAGGAACATCTCTCAGAAATTCCCTCAGACTTTCCTTGTTTTTTACTGGCTAGATTTGAGTTACGTGTTCCTTTCTAAACGTGGAGTGTTGGGATTAACTAGTTTGATTCAGACTTAACAAAATCTGGATTTTTAGGATAAGAGACAGGACACCCTTCCCTACATAAGGGACCACACAGAAAGTGAGAATCTTGACCCAAATACAGATCTGACAGCAGTAAAAACAAGCATATGGGGAGGAAATTCTTTGTGTACTCATTTTATTCATTTTGTATCTGTGGAAATGTCACTGAAAAATAGGCTTTGCAAATAATGGAAAGTGAAACTATTTGCTATAATGTTTTCTTAATGTTAGCACATAGACTATAGAAAGAATATTTCTGTGATTGCTATAGTCAGGATGGACTGAATAGTGTGCTTACTTTACAATAAGTGTTTTTTGTATTTTCTTTACATACCTCCAACATATGTTATAAATTTAAGTCCTGTTACAGTGCATTTTAAGAGATTCTGAGGTTGACTTGTTTATGTAGTGAATTTTGCTTCAGTGACTATCCTATTTCTTAGAAATAGGAAATACATATATTATACAGCAATTTTTTTTCTTTTAAGTAGATTTTATTTTGTATAAGGAAATTGGAATGATCTGATAGAAATTAATTTTTGAAAAATAATTTTTAGTATTTTTAAAGTAGAAAATACTTTTACCTTGATATAGTAATTAAGAATTTCAATGGGTGAAGGGAGGGCAGGGACAAGGGGAAAAAATGAGAACCAAGACCTGTCATGTAGAAGTACAAGATCCCAGTAATGAATGTAACTACACTGTATACCTAAAATGTACCAATAAACTCAATTAAAAAAATTTCATATATTTTCCTGTAAGAAAGTGTGTTTGCTTTCTGTGGGATTGTTTATCAAATAATATATAACATATTCCAACTTCACACTAAGGGGAATTCTTATTGTCTTCTTTTCATGCTTTTTTGAGTCCTAGGTTTATACAATAGGCTCATTGTGTTCAAGGAACTGTGGGTTTAAACTAGAATCATGTCTAGAGAATCTGTTTGTGAATTGAAATGGTCCAGTATGGTAGATCTTGTCACAGGCCAGAGACCCTTCAAAATGCTCCAGTCCAATAAAGTGTACACATCATTAAAGGTGCTCATAGCACTGGATGTGGGAACAGACACCCTGATATATGGACTGTTGGTTAATAATAGCCACTAGAGTCCTGTCAAAAATGTATTTAGGAAACTGTGGGAGTGACTATAACACCATCATAATTTAGGAAAATAATGTAAATGTTGTTGCATTCTTTATATACTATATGTTGCTACTTACATTCTGTATCCATGTGCTTAATACTGTATATACTTACATGCATAAAATCATATATAGTATGTTTTTATGGGTGGTTTAAGGGATTTCCAGGGGCAGTTTGTGTTTAAAATTCTAGCCTTACTGACTTATTCTCAGACCCAGTCCCCGAATAAGATGCTAGATAACTTTACAGATCTTGATGTTTGCTGTAGACACTTGTGTCATTCAAGTAGCCAGAACTGTGTTTCACTGGATGACCTTTTGGTTGATTTGGTTTTGTATTCCCCAAGAAACCTCTTAGTTACCTTTGTGTCTGTATTTAGACAACTTAAACTAGTGTAAACATTTGTGGTTTTGTTCAGGCAACCCGATGTAACTGCCATCAAAAATCAAAAGAAGAAAAATGCACATATGCTGATAAATATACTCAAACACCCTGGAGAATTCCTGTAAGTACCATTTTCTTATCTTCCTCTTCTGTCATGTGCTATTTTTTGAAGTTTTGCTTTGTTCTTTGTACTCTAATCACTAATACTTTTGAATTTGTCATGGCTAATTTTTTTCTTAGGTAAGTTGTTTTTTTCATGGCTGTTAGGTGTTTCTGTGCTTTCTAAAGCTTCTCTTGTGTGTCCTATATAAGCGAATGTGCACTTGATAGCTTTCCATTCTGCATACTGCAGCTCATTTTGAGTGTCTCCTCTCATTGCATGCTTTTATGAGACTAGTGTTTTCACACACCCTGAAGGAGCAGAAGCCTAACATTCAGTCATCCCACTTCAGCAGTGTTTGACACTTTGAAGGTATATGATGTCACATAGTTCTTTTTTGGTTGAGATTCTTCCAAATGTTTCATTATTATAATTACTCACAAATGTTGGTATTATTAGGTACTATTATTAATTCATGAAGGCATAGCTAGAGAAGGTTATGTTTTATGAAGAATTAGAATATGGTTTCTTCTGAACAGTAGAGAATAGCCATTTATTTTTGTTTGTTTTTGAAAAAATATCCCCTCAGAATATTTTTAGTGCTAAAAAATACCCTGACCATCACTTTACCTGAACTCCTTGGCACTCAGAGCAGGAGATACATGTATGTGGCTATCAGTCATCATTATCCTTTTGTGTGTGATCAGGTAATGGACCTGTTTATTAATAGAATGCCTGCTTAGCCAGCCTTTACTTTTCTCTCGCCTTGGATGGAATCCTAGTAACACAAATGAATAGGCAAATATTATGGTCAATGAAATTAGAAACCTAATTTATAAAACTTTACTGTAGACTTTAAAAGTTTATAAAATAATTATTTTCATCTACTTATTTTTGTGTGCTACGTAGAAAGTATGATGGCAAGAATTAATTTATTTGGCAAAAGTTCGGTCATTGCTCATCCTAGATAGACTCTTAAAATACAAGTGCATAATTGGGGAAAGGAATATGTGTATATGCGTGTGTGTGTGTGTGTGTGTGTGTGTAAAGACTTTTCCATTTATAAGCATTTTGAAGGAAACTAATGATGCATTGATAGCAACTACTGTAGGTTCTGTGAAGCTCTGGATTGGAAGGTCTAGTTAGAAGAATCATGGAGCTTGGTGAAGAAGGTGAAGGTAATATTCATACAAAGCAAATGACATCAACAGACTGAGATTATATATTTCTTTAATGTTCAAGGATGTAGAAACTTCACTATTTTGATGGCAATTACAAAATAAAAGATTGTACCCCTTGCACAAGTGGACTTTTGGTCTTTCCAGGTGTCTTTAGTCAACCCACAGGAAAGTTTCTGCTTTCTGATCAGGTTACTGACTAGATTGGCAATTCCTTTAAGCATGCGAGATTCTACTTTGCCATCTTTATAGAAGTCTTCAGTACTTCATACAGTTCTGTCTGGCGTCCTCAACTTCCCTGCCTCCTTACTAGATAAAAGAAACTGGTACAGAACAACCCTGGTGTACAGAACATGCTGTGGTTTTCTGCATTTATTCCTAAGTTAATTTTACCTTGATCCTGAGTGAAGGGTCGGTCAGTTTTTCCAGCCTGGCACCCCTAATAAATCCAGACTTGAGCTTTTCCTGTTATCTTTTATTATAGGAATCACCTGGCTAAATTCCTTTGTTTTGTAGATAAGATAACAAAATCTTGGGGATATTAATGGCTGGTTAAAAGTTCTATAGTAAGTAAGTAGCCAAGTTAGTACTGTAATTTAGGATTCATACTATGCTAGTCCCAAGATTTCTTCTGAATCATACTGAGGAGCCTGGGATGGAGAGATTTTGCAGATTAGAGTGGGAGGAATACCCTTCTCAGAAGAAACACTACAAGCAAAAGCAGAGAGGTAGAAAGGGACAGTCAGTACATGTCTATTGCCAAACACACTGACTGTTCAAGAAATAGTGGAAGTTAGTGTTAAAACTCATTTAGTATAGAATCAAAAACTTTAATGTAGGAATTACTATAAAAATTTACTGAGTTTTATTTAGTAATGCATACATACATACTGTACTTAATAATTTTTAAATATCATTTTAAATACTATGTTTATCCTGTGGTTTTTCTATTCATTGGACTTCATTTGAAATATATACTTTGGAGACAACTTACTGTAATTACAGTGATTTTCTTTTCAGAAGTTGTATGTTACTCAATTTTTTTTAAAAGCAGGAATAATGCAGCATATTTAAACAAAATTTTGAGGTTGGAGATATGAGCATGCAATGTGATTCTTCTTTGGCAACTGTTAAGTTGTTAGGCAGTAATTCTGGGAGTGAAAATAGAATTATTTAAAAATCTTCAGGCTTAGTATAAGTAAAATTATTTTGATCTGGCTAAGTCTTTGAGAAGATTGAAGTTTACAATCTGAGTCTCACTCTTGACCTTTTGTATAATATCTTAGAAATCTAAATATCTTTCTTGTCATTGTCCCTGTCATTTGATTACAAAATCTACCCCCAGAGATTTGTGAGGGATGTATGAGAACATTTTCTATACATGAAGGAATAAACCTGACTGTAGTGGAAGGGGTAAAGAATGGTGAAGGAGACTGAGTTACTCCCCCAAGGACTTGCTTGCAGCCACTTAGGAGGTGGAAGGAAATAAGGAAAAAATTACCAGACTCCTCAGTCAGAACCTGTTAAGAGGGAGGAGAGTGTTGGGCACCAACAGCTTCTGAAGGTAAATTGACCAGATGAACAGGAGGAACAATGTTGTAGCCCTGGGAAGTGAGGGTAAAGGCTGAAATCTGTGCTGTGCTGTGCTATGCAGAGGTCACTGGTTATATGACTGCCGAG